TCCTTTATTATTTATTTGTTTATTTATTTATTTATTATTTATACAGCATTCTGCCTGCGACAGAAGAGGACACCAGATCTCACTATAGATGGTTATGAGCCACCATGTGGTTGCTGGGAATTGAACTCAGCATGTTTGGAAGAACAGCCAGTGTTCTTAACCTCTGAGCCATCTCTCCAGCCCATGCAAATCCTTTTTATTCCTTGTCCAGTGTTGTTCTCCTTTGTCTGTGTAATATAGAGGCTGTTAAAGCCAAGAGCTCTTTTCTTCATTCTCCCTGGACACTCTGGATTAAACATATAATATGGAGCTGCAGCTATCCCTTGATGCCTTGCCTTAAATGCTGCTCTGATAGGCTGAGCAGAGCTTGTTGCAGGAGTAGTGAGGTATCAAGTCAATGCCTGTGCCAAGTCAGTCTTCCTCCTCTTCTTTTTCCAAGACAGGGTTTCTCTGTGTAGCCTTGGCTGTCCTAGAACTTCCTCTGTAGATCCTTCTGCCTCCTCCTCCCACGTGCTGGGATTAAAGGTGTGCACTAACATGCTAGGCTTACGCTTCTTTTAAAATTTATTTTTTATGTGTACTGGTGTTTTGCCTGCTTGTGTATCTATACACCATACATCTGTACACATGCATGTGGTGTCCATGGAGACCAGAGAATGGTGTCATATCTGAAACTGCAAACAGTTGTGAGCCACCATGTGGGTGCTGGAAGTCAAACCCAAGTCCTCTGGAAGATCGGCCAGTGCTCTTAACCACTGAGTCAGCTCCTCAGCTCCTCTTTTCTATGTCTCCCTTTATGGTAATAGACCAGCTGCAGCAACTCAATGAGACCAAGCATCCCTCAATATTTTCAGTAATATAGTTATTTTCAAATGCACTTTTAATTTTTCAAGATTTATTTAGGTGCATGTGTGTTTTGCCTGCATGAATGTCTGTATGCTGTGCATGTGCAGTGCCTGCAGGGGCAATGAAAGAGTGTTAGATCTCCTTGGGGCTGAAGTTACATATGTTTGTTAACCACCATGCGTGCTGGGTATCAAACCCCAGACTTCTGCTAGGGCCCAGGCTAAACTGTGGACAAAGCCATGGACACCTGGAGAGCTATTGTTTCACATTTCGAGAGGCAAGGTGAGGTCAATCTCTCATGTTCCTCTTTCCACAAAAACAGTCTCTCATCTTCTGTGCCTGGCTGGACCACCTCTGTTCAGGATGCCGTGAGACCACAGGAGTCAGGGACACTGCCTAGGTGATGGACTAACTAGTCATCTCTGTCATTTTGATTGGCACATGGATTGGTATATTTATTTATCTTATAATTTATCCTTCTCAGGTCTCTGATCACCTTGACGGCTAGGCTAAGCTTATGGTAACTTTGCAGCTAAAGAGCAGACAATTAGAACCACTGTTAGCTCATTGGCCGGTTCATTAGCTAGCTAGAACTACTAGGTACTAGATCTCTTATTTAGAAAGAAAAACAGGTTTGCCCTGCCTCACAGGATTCATGTTAGTTGCCTGTGTCTTATGGTAAACAGCTAAATAAAAAGATATAAAGTTTATGTAGGGTCTGGGAATATAGTAGTTTAGGTTATAAAAAAATCTAGAGTGTCATTTGGTCTGAAAAAAACGTTTCGGGGTTGATAAATGCAAAAGATTAGAGCATTGACTGCTTATTATTCAGTCACCAGCTTGAGATTTTAATTTCCTTTGGTTGTCTTCTGGAGATAGGCTTAAATGTGCTTCGCATCATGTTAAAAACATCTATTTAATGTATATATTTGACCCAAAGTCAGAGCTTTTAGTATGATATTCTTAATATCTGCCATTTCTGGGGTAGACTTTGACACAGCAATATCTTAAACCTCTTCCTTCTAGTTGCTTTGTTAAGGAAAGTCCAAGCATCCAGGGTTTAACAATAAATCCATGAATGCATTTCTGCCTAACTTTCCAGTGTAAACATGGAGATGAGGGCTAAAAGTAGATGCTAAGTGTACGAGAAATGGCCAAGCTCCATTGGTGGCTGATTACCAACAGCTATGCCCACAGAAGAAGTGTTAAAGTTCCAGACCACGGACACACTTACGTTGTTTATAAAAGTTATAAAACAAACATCTAAGTGATACTCATTCAGTGGGATGCAGTTTTACCTGTTACTCTCAGAATGTTATATTAGATTTGCTGAATATATATTTCCTTTTGTGTACCAAAAAAAAAAAAAAAATTCATATGAGTTTCAGGATGTGACCTGGATCTGGCATAGCTCAAAAGGATCGCAGATGAGATTTTCCTGATCTTTCCCATTTAACAGACAAATTTTAACTTCTGTCTCCAGTGTGAATTTGTCTCAGCAGATTTTCACCTGTTTGACTATGTTCCGGGATCAGCTATGGACTGCAAGCTGAAATCTGGACTTCCTGGAAATTGACATGGTTGCTCCCTGCCTCTTAGGGTGGGTCAACTAACCAGATGCTTGGGACTGCCCCATTGCCCAGCCTTTGACTGGCATTTCAGCCTCCCTAGCCCCTGATGGCAACAGTCCAATTGTCAAACTGAAGAAGCTCCAGAAGATGGATCTTTGCTCGAATCCCACCTAGCAGGCTGAAATGCTAAGTCAAAAGGGGCTGGCTCCTTGACATTAGCTATTATCTTGGGCACCTGCTTAGCTGAAATGAGAACTAATATTGCAGCAACTGGACTAAAAGCCTAGAGAGACACTAGAGACAAAGGATAATAGTTCTCTTTGGCTTACTACCCCTATATCCACCCTGAAGGGACCACTACTCATTTTGATTTTTATCTTTGGGCCTTGTATTTTAAATTGCTTGAGGCTCTCATGAAAAAAATGTTTGGGAGCAATACACTAATGGTACTCAGATCCCATTATAAAAAAGTAAATCTATAGGATACAAGGGGTCATATCTGGAAGACCCAAGATTGGGTCTTCAAATGATCATGGGAAAAGGGAAAATGAGAGACCAAAAGATTAAAAATCAGCAGTTATTAAAGTTTAAGGCCTGAACTAAGGCTAGCTGGGTGGAGAAGTCCAGTAATGCCCTGAGGGGAGGAGCCGCCTTACTGCATTCTTTCCCCACCCACTATATTCCTACAGTTGCTAGGAAACTGGCCCACCCCCCTAGGGAGGGACACCAGATCATTAATGGTCTGGGGACCTTCCTATAGCCAGTCAATTCAAAATGTAGCATTTTGACCAACAGATGCTTGCCAGGCAGGAATTGCCCCTGCCTTAGGCATGCTGGGAGGGACCAGAATCTTTAAATCACCCAACTAACCTGAGCACGAGGTGCTCAGCTCTCACTGCTTTGGCAGTGGGGAGTGTGGGCCCAAGCTGCAGCTTGTAATTTACAATAAAAAGAACCTCATGTATTTACAGCGGAGTCTGTTTATTCCTGGTCTTTTGGGGTTTGCGAACTGGGCAAAACAGGACCCTTTTCTGATCCACTCAGAGAGCCCATTCGCTCATAGGCGTCTTACCTCTAGGAGGAGCCAATGTCTGGGTCTGAGTGATCCTAGCTACACCTGAGGTCCAGTTGCTGAATGACCCTCTGGTTGTCTGACTCCCAAATGTTGTTCTAACAAAGGCAAGTAGCCTCAGTTATCTATCCTGATGGTGATGGCAGCTGTGGACAACTAAAGGAGCAGCTGAAAGTTCAACAGAGACCAAGAAAAAAGGGGGGAGGGGAGTGGAAGAGAGATGACAAGAAAGTAGAGATCTGACAAAAACTGTGAAGGAGGGGCTGGAGAGATGGCTTAGAGGTTAAGAGCACTGGCTGCTCTTCCAGAGGACCCAGGTTTAGTTCCCAGCACCCACATGGCAGCTCAAAACTATAATTCTTGTTCCAAGGGATTTGACACCCTCACACAGACATATATGCAATCAAGACACCAATGTGCATAAGATAAAAACAAAATATTAAAAAAAAAAAAAAAAAGCTGTGAAGGAGTCAGAGAGGAAAACCTGCAGTCTCCAACTACAAGGGTTCCAGAGAACTGCCTCCAAGGGTCTTAGATTGAGCTGAAACGCTGGCTGCTGCCCCGAGCCAAGGGACCTAATGCTTGAGGCTGGCATAGCAGTTGCTCCTCCCACCTGCTGCTGGAGGAGACATAAGTTTTAGAGGTTAGCATCTGAACAGCTTTCTTCCCATCTACCCAAGATCCCTCTCCAGGCAGAGCAAAAGTTGTTAGCTAATCCATGACAATAATATTTTCTACAGCTGGTTCGTTTGAATAAGATTCAATTTACTTGCTTTAAACAATATTACATATTTTAAACTCTAGACTTTTTATGAGAATAAAACTGTTTAGGCAAGCCCTAACAGAATATTGTGATCCCTGCAATACACACAGTCTGTACAGTATGCAAAATTTTTGTGGGGATGTATGCTGATTATTATTATTATTTTTTTTTTTTTGTCAATTTGACACAACGAAGAATCTTCTGTGAAACAGGAACCTCAGCTGAGGAATCGCCTCCATCAGAGTGGCCTGTGGGCATGTCTGTGGGACATTTTCTTGGTTAGTAATTAATGCAGGAGGGTTCAGCACAGTGTGGACAGCACCACCCCTATGCAGATGGCCCTGGGTTAAGCAAGCAAGCAGACTGAGCAAGCCCTGGCAAGGCAGTGAGCAGCTCTCTTCCATGGTCTCTGCTTCAGTTCCTGCCCTGACTTCCCTCAGTAATGGATTGTGCTGGGGAAGGGGGCAGGGATGTGAACCAAATTAACCCTTTTCTCCCCAATGTGTTTTTGGTCAGTGTTTTATCACAGCAATAGAAAACACACTTAAGACAGAAGGCAGCATCTCACTATGCTGCCCAGGCTGACTTAGAACCCCTGGGCTCCTGAGATCTCCTGCCTCCGTTCCCCTAGTAGTGAGACTGCATGCACACAGTCTACATTAAAAAAGTTGCAAGCCATTTTCAATAACTCACAGGAAACCTACAAGGTTCCTGAGGCCCTTCTCTCTGTTCATAGACCAGTAAACAACTGCAGGAGAGAAGGGACTCTCTGTGGAGCTTCCTGCACATTGTACAGGAGCTGCAGAAGCCAGCCTTCCTGAGTCCTCACCTGTGCTGGGAAAAGGACTCCCTTTTTGTCAATAATCACAAGAAACTCGGTTCGCAGAGTTAGACTGGATTCCTAGCCGTGTGTGTGTTTGTGTGTGTGTGTATGTTTCCTCTGTGCCCTCTCTGGGACAAACAGACATTTTTGTACATATCACAGAGCGCCAACAGAAAATAGAGAAATCAAAGCTGGATTGCAGCTGAGGAGGAACAGGTTTATGCTATATCAAGGTCACTGTCATCACCATGCCAAACTGGAAATGTCACCACTGTCTGGACATTTGGACACATTTTATTAAGAATATAATTATCTCTTTGTTTTTATGCTCTGTAGTAGCACATGGTCTCAGTCATAACAATGTGAAGCCTTTTTGTCTGGTAAGAGGAAACAGGGGAGGGAGGCCCACGTAGTTTCTTTTACAGAAGAGCTCTCTGATTTATTAGCACCTGTAATGATGGTTTACTTGACATACAGACCATCATGCACCTAGCATGCTGCCTGGTTCTGCCCTTGCTCCTCCACCTGGCTTAACCCAGATACAGCCATGAGAGCTAGCATATCCAGGGAGATGCTGCCTGGCTGTAGCCATGGCCCTTCTGCAAAGATCTGTGTTTCCGGCTAAAGGTCCGGGATGCTGCACATGCTGCTTTGCTCCTAAAGGATTTAACTCAAGAGCGGCTTCTTTTCTACAGTTATGTAGACAAACAATACGATGATGAAAATGCCAAGGATGGCCAGCTTCAAGCTCCATGGGAAGCTATTCTGTAGGTTCTGGCATAGGAAGCTGTTCCAGGGGTTCTGGTATAGGAAGAGGCTCTTGGGGCTCTTGTCCTCTTGGCAGTAGTCCTCTTTGGCAACACACCCACACTTGATCTTCGGGCACGGTCTTGCAGCATACCTGTGGAGACATATCAGAGGCTCTTAAGATTGTAATCGGCTGTTTCCTGATCACCTCTTAGGGTAAATGTGTGCAACTCGGAGGCCCATGGGAGCAGCCCTAGACCCACTGAGAATCTATGTTAAGGTCCATAACTATAAACCCATGGTGTGGTCAGGGCATGGGAGGGCTCTCGGTTCTACAGAATATTTCCTTCCACTGTTATCTGCCTCTGAAATACTAAGTGCTGGCAAAGTCTGGCTCCAGGTTTCTGAGTCCCCATTGGAAAGCTGTATAAGTTTTGGTGGCAGAGCTGGGGCCCTGTGCTTATCTCTGCACAGGCTCATCACTGCCTTCCTGGTGGATGTGGAAGTGCTTTTCCATCCCCCTTAACATCGGCATTTGAAAGAGTAGGAGGGTTTAGAGCTCAGTGGAGGCTGAACTGTCTGGGTGACCTTTGACCTAATGACTCCACTACTCTAATTCTGTGAGACTAATTAAACTCTCCTCAGAAGTCAGAGAATGTTAGCCATGGAAGGCAAAAGGATCATAGGTTCAAAGTCATCCTTAAGGGCTGGAGAGATGGCTCAGAGGTTAAGAGTGCTGTCTATTCTTCCAGAGGTCCTGAGTTCACTTCCCAGCAACCACATGATGATGGCTCACAACCATCTATAATGAGATCTAGTGCCCTCTTCTGACATGGAATGTACGTGCAGATAGAGCACTCATATACATAAAAATAAATTACAAATAAACATTAAAAGAAACAAACAAACAACACAAAGTCATCCTTAGCTAAAAAGCAAATTCAAGGCACCCAAGGTTATATATGACCCTGTCTTAAACAGGGTCCAAAAAAAAAAGTTATGGAATTTTCTAGAACATTAGAAAGATTGTTGTTTGACTGAGTCGTAGATTGGTATTTAGAGATTGAACCTAGGGCCTCATGCTCTACTACTAAACCACACTTTAAACTCTGCTTCTACGCAGTGAAATCACCTATTATCTGGCTTTTTATCAAAGCCACATCCCTTTTAAAAGATGAACTTTTATCCAGTTTCCAAACCACAAACAGTATCGAATCTTTCCAGATAACCACAAATGAGGATGTGGGTTCTGGTCTGGGCTCCTGGAGACTTTAGCATCTACTCTACATCCCCTGCCTTCCAATACCTGTCTTCTTAATCTCCAAAAACAAATGACAAGATACAGACTTTGGCTATGAAATTATCTGGTCTCACAAATATATCTTCTTTCCAGTAGGTTCTCTTCAGGTTCAAGCCCTTCACAGACATCTGAATAATGATTTTACCCCCAATAATATCTTTGTCTTTTTACACTACATAAGGTTTTACTTGAGACTGGGTATGTACTTCAGAGAACTCTTGGCTAGCATGCCCAAGGCCCTAGGACACAAGAACACCAGCATTTACCTGACTCCCTTTGTGGGTTTCTGGCTCAGGCAGCAGGTGTCTACGACTCTTCTTTCACCAGGAGAAGCCTTGGGTCTCTGACATAAGCAGAAAGAAAATGCCAACAAGGATTTATTTGCAATGTCTTGTAATCTGGTTTTCGCTGTGTGTGGAGGGGGAGAATCACACCGGGTAGTTTAAGATTCGTTGTATTTGTATTTGTCTTTCCTTGGTGGTCAGCAAAAGCACCCAGTACCATGAAGTGATGTTTTACTTCAGTGACTCATGGGAGGACAACAGACACGAGGGAGACTAGACTCACATGGTGAAAACAGCAATCTGTTACTAATCATTAATTCCATTTTCTGTCTTTTTATTATTTTTCTAATTTGTGGCTTGGCAATTGTTTTCTTTTCCTTTCTTCCACTTTAAAAAATGTAGGGTGTGGGTGGGGGCTGGAGTGATGGCTCTTCCAGAGGTTCTGAGTTCAATTCCCAGCAACCACATGGTGGCTCACAACCATCTATACTGGAATCTGACGCCCTCTTCTGGCATCTAAGTGATCTACAGATAGATCACATTTATATGTAATTTAATTTATATATTTATTTTTTTTTAAAGTGTGTGTGTAGGGTAGCAAAGCAGATGCTGAGGCTAATAGCCAAACTTTGGGCAGAGTGCAGGGAATCTTATGAAAGAAGGGGGAGACAAAAAGACCTGGAGGGGACAGAACTCTACAAGGAGAGCAACAGAGCCAAAAAAGTATACAACATCATGTGTGTGCCTAGCCCAAGGAGGCTAAAAGAAGGTGTTAGATCCCCTGGAACTACAGACAGTTGTGAGCTACTATGTGGGTGCTGGGAACTGAACCCAGGTTCCCTGGAAGAGAAGTGCTCTTAACCACAGAGCCATCTCTGCAATCTAATTTGTTGTGTTCTGCAGATACTGAGACCATCACACTATCCAAGCCACAGACCACTAAGCATGGAAGGATGCTGTGGAAGCACTCCATTAATTGAATCTTAGTCAGTTGGCTCTCACGGAACTATATCCTGTTTCTCTTGTCCCACTTGAATCCTGGGACTTGAGCAAGAGTAGGTCTTCCACCACCATTGTGCTGTCCGAGGCATAGGGCAAACAGTCAGTTACTGACTGAAGAGGGAGACTGGCTGCCTCGAAAAAACAATAGCTCAAGGCCAACCAAGGGGACATCTAACCACAAGACCAAGAGGCTGGATGTGTGGCACATGGGACAATAGAGGGGACACTGGCATCTTAAGGTTACCAGAACAAAATGCCTTGGTTTCTGAATGTTGTCATGATCCTCACTTGAGCACCTAAGTCTGGTGACTAGACTGTCACAGATCCAAGAACTCTGGCCTGGTAGGACAAGAAGGTATGGCCACCTTACCTAGTTCTGAACACAGCCATGTGGCTGCAGTCATCTGCCCTTCCTTCTCTGTCCTTCCCAGAGAAAAGCTCTCACTAGTGGCCTGGATGCCCAAACAGGGCCTGAAGCTGTGCCCTTTCCCGTCGTGGGCCTGCTGGTAGGTCCAGCCAGACCTCCTAAGCAAAGGTTCTCAGGCACAGTACTCCTCCAAAGCTCCCACAGCCCTGCATGCTCAGCAAGAGGTATTTTGTGCTGTTCTCAATGGTGCTGGAGAATCTTTTTATTGTCTAAATTCTATTTAAAAGCCTTTGATTTAGATAAAAATTTAAACATACACAAAAGTAGACAATAATGTAAAGAGCCTCCGCACATCTATCACATATCACTTTTTCTCCTGAGGTTAGAAATAGGAATGTTAAATAAAGCGCTTAAGATAGAAGTCTATTGCAAAATAAAATTACAGGATTTCACAGCTCTTAGGCAATCAAATACTCCCTCCTTTCTCTTCCTGTCCTAAGTCGTGTTAGCTCCTTTATTCCTTTCCTTCCCATTTTGTTGAGATGACATCTTGCAGTGGTGCCCAGGATAGCCTGAATCCCTGGACTCAAGCCATCCTTGTGCCTTAACATCTCCTGACAAGCTGGGCTGCAGATGTGGAACACCATACTTGCCTGGCCTAGTTTTTGTTTTGAGACAGGGTCTCTCTGTGCAGCCCTGGGTGTCCTGGAACTTGCCATGTAGACCAGGCTGGTCTCAAATTCAGAGATCCTCCTGCCTCTAACTCCTGGTCTATCTTGTTTTTTTAATAAATTGTTTCTATATATTGTTTATACATATATATGTATGTATATATCACAGAGTTCTTGTATAGCATATGTAAACAGTGGACTTTTTTTCCAATACAGAGTAATTATGGCCTGTCCACTTGACTGTGTAGCCATCACAACAACTACTAAACTACTAATAATGTTAGAAAGCTGTATCTCAGGAAAAGGGTCACCAATATGTCAACTGGCGACAGTAGAAAATCTTATGCAAACAACAATGACAGCTGTGCATACTCTGGATCATCATAAAGATAAACCTAGAAAGAAATAACAAAAAACAAAACAAAACCAGATTTTGCAACAGTTGGTGTCTGTAGCTGACTTATATTTCATCTTTTTTTATTTTTATTATTTTACTTTTTGATAAAGGGTTTCTCTGTGTAGCCCTAGAATTCACTTTGTAGACCAAACTGGTCTTGAACATGGAGATCTGCCTGCCTCTGTGTCCCAAGTGCTGAGATTAAAGGCACATGCCACTACCACCAAACTTTATATTTCATTTAAAAAAAATTCCTTTTAATGTTATACTTTGATCTCCAACATAAATATCATTTACAGTGTAACAGAAATATACTGTAGTTCATTACAATAATGACTGAGCTGGGGTATACACCCTGGGGAGAGAGTGTCCTTGCTTCCTTTTCACATTTTCTCATTTGAGAAGAGAACCCACCACATATCTGTGGCTGGCCTGGAACACATTCTGTAGAGCAGGCTGGCCTCAGACTCATCTACTGCTACAACTAAAGGCCTGCACCAGCGTGACAAGCAGATCTATTTTTTCTCCCTGTGTCCAGGGCTGGAATCTATAACATGATCAGAACTTAGTACCTGGGCATAGTGGTGCACACTTGGGATGGTAGCGCATGAGAATCTGAGGCAAGAGGATCCCTTCAAGTTTCAGACTAGACCAGACTACATATGGAGACTTTTTTTCTTATCTTTTCTTTTTTTTTTTTTTTTTTTTTTTGACAGTATTTCTCTATGTAGCCCTGGCTGTCCTAGAACTTGCTCTATGAGTTCCAGGTTCCAGGCTAGCCTAGAACTCACAGATACCCACCTACCTCTGCCTCTGAGCTAGGATTAAAGATGTGAGCCACAACCTTGCTGGAGATCTTAGTAAAACAGAATAATTAAAAAAGAAAAAAAGGTACAGAGCAGGAATGTGCAGTCTCCCTTGCTCCTTCACTCTCTTCGTTACATGCCTGCATGCAAGTCAGAGAATCCTCTTTCTCAGTAGACTAGAGCTGATCATGGCTGCCATGATCAATACAAGAAGTCAGAGATGTGCCAATACAATAACCCACATGCTCTCTCTGCATAATACTAGCTATGGAAATAAACTCAGTCTCAAAACTAGCCTATGAGAAAGGAGCTTCTACAAAGCTTGTTCACAGATGAGGAAACAGAAGTGTGGAGCATATCAGCAGCTTGCTCTGGTGAGGGGACAGTGCTAGAAGGCAATGCTAGGAGGAAGCCCAAGATGTACAGACGAGTCCTTGCTCAGTCCTTACCAGACAGTACGTCACTGCGGCTCCATTAAGCACTTAGAAACAGTATGTTCTGAACACCTATTATCTTGGGCATGCAGTGCACCTCAATTCCGAGTTCTTTAAGATATCAGGAACTAATTATAGACACTAATTTGCAGATGGAGAAATGGAAACTCAAGACGTTAACTGATTTGCTCTAATACAGTCAATAAAGGACTAGTTAAGTTTGGTTTTGTTCTTTTTTTTTTTTTTTTTTTTTTTCTGTTTTTGCTTTCGTGGCACTGAGGATAGCTTTGAACATGATGGGAAAACTTTCTGACTGAGCTCAGCAGCCAAGCTCTGATACTTAATATCTTAAACCCAGATACTATGGCTTCACACCTTTAAAGATATTTTTTTTCCTGTTAGGAAAATTTGTCATTGAAAACATGTCAAATATTTCTTAAAACTTTCCATTAATTAATACATTATCAAATCATTATTTTACTGTGAAAGCAATATTTGCAGTCATTAGTTCCATTCCTAGGCATTTCTGGAATAGCTTTTTTCTTAAGACTTTTCCAGGTGGACTATTTTGGAGTAATTCTGCCTACTTAAGAATATATTGACTCTGAAAGTGGATTGTATATGAGATACTGAGTTACACTGTTATATTCTAATTAACTACAAAACATTGGGCTACCATCTAGGGCCAGAATAAACAACAATCACCGTGCAATCTCATTAAGTCATTTTGCAACTAAGAGCCACATTTGGGGCTGGAGAGATGACTCAGTGGTTAAGAGTGGGAACTGAGAGATGGACAGGAAGAGGAAGGAGGAGGAGGCCAGGATGGGTTCACCTGGAGAAAACATCACATGGGCAGAGGAAGGACTCCAATAATGGCATGAAAAGGCCCAGATGGAGAATATAAGCAAGTACCATGGGATTATGGATGAAAGGTGGGTTACCATGATGGGAGGTCAGGGTCCTTCCTGCCCTCCTAGATTGGTATGCCCTGGAGAATGGTGGCATGCCTGCCTAACTCAACACCAGGAGTCACAATCCTAACCCTAGCTCAACTCAATGCACAACAGGAAACAAAGAGCCTCCAGTGGATCCTTTATGGTTAAAATCACAAGTCACAAAGGAAGACAAAGTTTGTTTTTTCTATCAGAAGAGTTGAACAGCTGTCTTGTAAAGGAGGCCCACATATGACCTCTTTCGGGTACTTGGGTATTGCAAAAAGTATACTTTCTGCTACAACCTGATGTCATTGTGGTTAGCCTGTCTTGCTTGGCTCTCAAGATCTCCTTGGGTACTTGAAATTGTACTAGTACTACATAATCTGCTACAAAAGATTCATTTTTGGGTTTGTAGGAGGCTCTCAAGGGATCTCATGAGTTCCT